ATGTCAACTGTTAAGACATGGTCTCTGGCTTCCTGAAGTCTAGAGTCTAGCAGGAGACTGAGATCTGCAAACGAGTGCACAGGAACTGTTTAATTATAATTGTCAGGAGTGCATTCCAGGGTGCTAAAAAAAGATCTTAATAACAGGGGCCTCGCAGGTCAGGGCATGGTTTTCTAAGGCAATGGCTTTTAGGTCAAAATCCCCAAAATAATGATGCCTGCTCACAATTAAAGCTGCACTGTCCCGTGGGGTAGCCACTGGCCCCACGTGGCGGCTGAGCACTGGAAGTGTGGCTAGTCAAACTGAGAAGTGTTCTCAATGTAAAATTCACCCTGGAAAAAAAAGTAAAATATTTCGGATACTTTTCATACTGATTAAAAATGAGAGGGGTGCCTGGTGGCGCAGTCAGTTAGGCTTCTGACTCTTGGTTTTGGCTCAGGTCATGATCTCAGGGTCAGGATCTCAGGGTCGTTGAGAGTGAGACCCACGTGGGCTCCACATTCTGAGCTGCGTCTGCTTAACTCTCTCTCTCCCTCTGCCCCTCCCCTTGCGCAGTCTCTCTATCTCTCTAATTAGTAAAGTAAGTAAATAAATACAAAGTTGAAATGAGGACCATGGGATCATGACCTGAGCCGAAGGCAGAGGCTTTAACCCACTGAGCCACCCAAGTGCCCCAAATTTAATTTTTTTTTAAGATTTTATTTATTTGAGAGAGTGAGTGAGTGAGAGAGAGCACAAGCAGGGGGAGAGGCAGAGGGAGAGGGTGAGGGGGAAGCAGGCTCCTCGCTGAGTAGAGAGCCCAATGTGGAGCTCCATCCCAGGACCCCAGGATCATGACCTGAGCCGACCAACTGAGTGACCTGGGCACCCTGGATATACTGGATTATCAAATATATGAAGATTCATTTACCAGTTGTTTTCTACCTTTTTATTTATTTGCTTAAAAAAGTTATTTCTTTATTTGAGAGAGAGCGCGCAGGAGCTGAGGGAAGAACAGAGGGAGAGGGACAAGCAGACTCTGTGCTGAGTGTGGAGCCTGATGGGGGGCCTCGATCCCAGGGCCCTGAGATCATAACCTGACTGAAATCAAGAGTCCAAGGCTTAACCGATTAAGCCACTCTGGCGTCCCTCTATTAAATGAGGCTACTGGAAAGTCTTAAATTACGTCTGTGGCTTGCATTTTTTTTTTTAAAGATTTTATTTATTTATTTGACAGACAGATCACAAGTAGGCAGAGAGACAGGCAGAGAGAGAGAGGAGGAAGCAGGCTCCCCGCTGAGCAGAGAGCCCGATACGGGGCTCGATCCCACGACCCTGGGATCATGACCTGAGCTGAAGGCAGAGGCTTTAACCCACTGAGCCACCGTTGTGGCTTGCATTTGCATTTTGTTTCCAGTGGGTATGGCTGAGCCAGAGAGTGCTTGCTGGTAGGAAGGATCGTTCTGAGTACTCAATGTGTGGTGTCTCATTTAATCTGACCGTGACTCTCAGAGGTGGCTAGAATTCATCTTTCTGCAGAGGTGGAAATCTGAGGTGCAGAGAGTAAACGGCCAGAGACTCACCACCAGCAAGGAGCATAGTGGGGGTTTGAACCCCCGGTGGAGTCCCTCTGCCTAACCAATGTGCACTTAACTTCTACCCCACACTACTGAGTACAGGCACTGCTGTGCTGGGACAGCCATATAGCCATCAGAGCGGAAGGAACAGCATAGAGATATTTCATGGACTAGATGGCTTCTGTGCCTTTGGCCATGGAGTGACCCCACCACAGGAATCTGCTTTCTCGGTGGCTGTTTCCTTACCCTGGGGACTCTGTATTCAGTTTTAGCAGGGCTGTCTGTCTGCCTTGTCAATGCAAGTTAATCTTTAGAAAGCATACTCATAACGGTCCACTAAGCACTCTCTAACCCAGCCTATGCGCTAGAAACAAAAGGCAAGCCATGTATGTAATTTACAATTTTCTAGTAACTTTTAAAAAAGTAAAAAGAGGGGTGCCTGGGTGGCTCAGTTGGTTGGGAGTCTGCCTTCAAGCTCAGGTCATGATCCCAGGGTCCTGGGATTGAGACCCACTTTTCCCTCTACCTCTGCTGCTCCCCGTGCTTGTGTTCTCGCTCTCTCTTGTCAAATAAATAAATAAAATATTTTTAAAAAATTTATTTATTGGGGCGCCTGGGTGGCTCAGAGGGCTAAAGCCTCTGCCTTCAGCTCAAGTCATGATCCCAAGGTCCTGGGATTGAGCCCCGCCTCAGGCTCTCCGCTCAGCAGGGAACATGCTTCTCTCTCTGCCTGCCTATTTGTGATCTCTCCCTCTCTGTCAAATAAATAAAATCCATTAAAATTTTCTTTTTTAAGATTTTATTTACTTGACAGACAGAGATCACAAGTAGGCAGAGAGGCAGGCAGAGAGGGGTAGAAGTAGGCCCCCCGCCTCGCAGAGAGCCCCATGGGAGGCTCCATCCCAGGACCCTGAGATCATGACCTGAGCCGAAGGCAGAGGCCCAACACACTGAGCCACCCAGGTGCTCCTATTTATTTTTTTAAATAAAAAAGGTAAAAAGAAACAAGTAAAATTGTTTTATCTACTCCAATATATCCTAAATGTTACTGTATCAACTTGTAATCAATATAAAAAAGTGTGGCTTTGCTGACCCTTTTGTCTCCCCATTTTCACTCCCCATCTCATATTTCATGCTGCAAATTCCTTCCAGTCCTTCCAATGCACCATGGCCTTTGTCTTAACCATAAGCCTTTGCATATGCTGTTCCAGGCAGCTGGGAATGCTGTGAGGCTATTCATTCTTCATACAGGCTTATTTGCTTTTCTGCCTGCCCTTTTGGACTGTATCCCCGAAGAAGGCAGACACCATATTAGTTTTATCACTGTATCTCCAGCCTGAGCACAGCTTTTGGTCCAGTGCAGGCACCGTTAAATATCTCACCTCTGAGTGAACTGATGAGTGACTTCACTAATTATCTTCTGAGTCTTCAGTTAAACCAGGAACTTTCTAAGGAAAGGGACTATGGTTTACTTCGTTCCAAGTGCCAGGCATAATGTCCACCAGTCACTCAGCAAATATATATTGAGCAGCCCCTCCTATATGCTGCACACGTAGTAATGGACATGGTTCCTGCCCTCACGTGCTTTTCCTCTAAGAGGATGAGGGACATTTATCAAATAATCTAACCACTACATGTAAATTGTAGGAGTGAGAAGTGTCTACAAAACAGAGGTACATTAAAGGTGTTGGGAGGGCAGGAGATAGCATGACTTACCTGGTTGTGGAGCAGTCTTGGCTCTTGAGTTTTAATAGAGGAGGTTGTGGTAGCCAAAGGTGAGGCTCCTGGTTCTGCCTTCAAAAAAGAGCTTGATGATGGGTCGCCTGGGTGGCTCAGTGGGTTAAAGCCTCTGCCTTCCGCTCGGGTTCTGATCTCAGGGTCCTGGGATTGAGCCCCGCATCGGGCTCTCTGCACAGCAGGGAGCCTGCTTCCCATTCTCTCTCTGCCTGCCTCTCTGCCTACCTGTGATCTCTTTATCAAATAAATAAATAAAATCTTAAAAAAAAAAAAAGCTTGACGGGTGCCTGGGTGGCTCAGTTGGTTAAGCGACTGCCTTCAGCTCAGCTCATTATCCTGGAGTCTCTGGATGGAGTCCCACCCACATCAGGTTCCCTGCTCAGCAGGGAGTCTGCTTCTCCCTCTGACCCTCTCCCCTCTCATGCTCTCTCCCTCAAATAAATAAATAAAATCTTTAAAAAAAAAAGCAAAAAAGAGCTTGGCACCGAGATTAAGGAATGACAGCTTCCACATGCAGGGTTTTTGGGGCAAGGCTGAACTCTTCCTCCAGGGCACCCCCAGCCAGTGGCTGAACATCGGGGGGTGGGGGTGGGGACTGGGGCCTGAACACTTCTGCTCAGTGAGGCTACTCCAAGGAGTTTTAGCTCATTTATCTTTGTCATATCTGAGTCCTTGCGGGATCCTGTTTCTTCCCCTTTCTCTTTCACAAGCGTTACCTGCCCCCCGCCCCCAACTCCATCTCAACATTTGCTTCTTAGAGGAACTGACCTGACCCAGAGGGTCTTGGGGGCTGGGTTCTGGTGGGCAGGGGAACTCCAAGTTGTGCCTACAGGGCATTTTTATATAGAATTGACAAACTACCCTTGCCCTTTGCAAAGAGAGCGGGGGAAGGGCTGATAGCCTTAGAAGCCTCTATGAGAATTAACTTCCATAGTAGCTACCTGGTGTCTGGCACTCCGTGAATGGCAGCTGTTACTATTATCTGATTTGTACACATCTCCTCTGGGCTTTGGGGTGGCAGAGGGTGTTTCAGGAAACTGTACCTGGCACTGGGTGTAAAAGCCCTTGAACTTTTTCCTTTAATGTCTAAGGTGGTGTCCCCTCTGCTCCATGTTTTGGGAAAGTTTCCCTCTAGGGACGGTGGACATGTGGAAGATTAAGGGATATATAACTTCGAAAGTATTGAATCTGGCCCCAAAGTCCGGATTGCGAGCTGCACTGCCATCAGTCCAGAGGGCGACCCCAAGAAAGGTCCTCCAGAGGTTCCCTGCTTTGCCTGTACTGACTTAGGGTCCTCCTAGGAGGAGACCTACTGGGAGATAGGCAGATAGAATGGTGGACAAATCTAACTCTCCAGCGGATGGACATGTGATGAGTGAGTGACTGATGGATGGACAGACGCAGGTCAGACTGAGATGTCAACACAGGAGGGCTGGCGTGTGACTTTGAGACGGACAGAGACTGACCACAGGGCTTGAAGAGACTGACCGCAGAGCCTTAAGGGCAGAGTCTCCCACCTGCCGGCTCGGCCGCGAGGGGGCGCTGCCGCTCGCCCGGCGTAGCCCTCTGCCGGCCGGGCGCGCGCTCGCGGGCCGGCGGTGGGGCGGGGTTAGCGTGAGCACCGGGCGGGGCCAGCTTGCTCCTGGGGGCGACAGCGGGCGGGGGCGGGGCGCGCGTGCTCGCGGGGGCGGGGCGCGCGGCGGGCGCGGGTGCGCGCGGCGGCGGCGCGTTCCGTTCCCGGCCGAGGCTCGCAGCGGAAAAGTTGTGGGGCGGAGAGGAGCGGCACCGGGACGGGCAGAGAGCGGGACGCCGAGCCGGCTCCCGGCGCCCGCGGTCCCGCCATGGACGACCTCGGTGAGTGAGCGGGAGGCCGAGGGAGGAGGCTGCGAGGGGCGCGCGGCCCCGGGCCGGGCGGGCGCGAGCGAGCGGCGGGGGCCGCGGGATCCCGCCCCCCGCGGCCGGGGTCCTGGCTCTGCTCGCTGAATGCCAGGGTTCCGCCGGGCCGGGATGCCCGGCTGGGCCTGAGTCCTGGGCCAGGCCGGCCTTGCCGCGGTCCTCACAGCTACCAGCCCCCGCCGTGGAGACGGCCCCACCTCCGGACCCCGGACGTCGGACCATCTCCCAGACCAGCCGTAGGGGCTGGCTTGCACCTCAGGGACCCGCCCCGTTCGCCCCAGGGACGGACCCCCCACTGCCTGCACCACATTGCCTCCCCCGCTGTGGGACCCTCCCTTCACACACGGCTCCCCCAGCCCCCACCTCACTGATCGGCGGCCCAATTCAGGGAACAACAGCTGCGGAAACTCGAAACTCTCTTGGTCCCTCATTTCCAGGACCTGTTCCCACCCTGTTAAGGACCCCCTTTCTAGGGATAGCCCCTCCAAGACCACCCTTTCATTTCACAAGTTAGAGATGAGCCTCCAGTGACCACACCCCCATAAAGACAAGTTTTTCATCTGTCCCCACTACCTCGCCCCCCCCCCCAGTCCAGGTCTGGGCGCCCTGTTTTATGGACTGGTCACTCCATTTCCCGACTGCTCTGTCCACGCTGTGGACCAGCCCCTCCCCTTTCCTATCACAGATCAGCCTAATCCTAGAAGAGTAAGTGGGGGAGACATGATTCTTCCCCCCGACTGCCAGGGTCTGGTGTAGTGCCAGGGGAATGAGGTGGGAAGTAGGCCCCAGGGTATGGCCATCTCTGGGCTTGTCTGGGCTGGAAGGGTTCCTCCCACCCGGCAGCATCCAACCTTGCTGGAGGCCACACAGGTAAGGAGGACAGGATGCCCAGAACAGAGTTTTACTGTTTTCATGTTATCAGAGTTCCCAAACTACTCTTTTCAGTCCAGCCTTGATCTGGCGTTAGGATGGGGAAAAGAATCTCCTGGAACCTGACACTAAACCCAAGGGGGTTGATGCCAGGGTTCTAGGAATGCCTTGAGTGGCCTGAACCCAGGAGTGAGAGGATTCACTCTTCACTCTCCCTCCCTCCCTTTCATGCCTGTAGCCAGAGGGCCTCTGAGCTGGGGAGGTAATGGGGTGGGGGGGAAGTTTCTTCTCTGTAGGAGCCTTGTCTTCCCTCTTTGGACTGTGGGTGGCTTGTGTGACCACTGATGCTTTCTCTGTCCCAGGCTCTGAGGAGTAGATTCATCGGACGGCCCTGAGTGGCTGCCCCCAACCACACAGGGCACTAAGTTAAGACTGGCTATTTGTAGGCGCTGGACTTCCAAAGAGACAGGGAAGAGGACCGCCAGCTTCCTTTTAAAAAAGATCAGGACGCCGCTGAGAGATCCTGGTGCTGGGAATGGTGCATAGTCCTGCCTGTTTTGCAAGGTGTGATGGTTGCCAAGCATAGTTCTGCCTTTGGGTCAGGCTTGGCACCCATTTTTCCAACACATTCGAGGTTGGCATGGCCTCCAGGCAGGTAGTTTGTTCACATAAAAAATAAGCTGAAAGGAGACTGGGGGATATTTTTTGAATCAGTATCTGAACGTCTCGATGCTTTCCCAGCAGGAACCAGGGAGCAGAGTTACAGTTTCTAAAACGCCGATGTGTTTCTGTTGCTCTTCTCCAGTCCCTTCCACACAGTACTGTTTGAAGGTCTGAGAGAGTTTTGTAGAGTGTACTTTTGGAGTCCAGAATTCCTGTCCTCTGACAGTCTTCCATTTAGGGCCAGGAAACCTGGTGAATCTTCGGGAAAGTGTATCCTGGCAGAGGGGCCTGCAGGAACTGAAGTCTGCTGTTTATGGAGTGCTCGCCCGTACCTCAGCTTGTCCCCGTCCTCCCTCACAGCAGCACTGCCACCGAATGACCAAATCATGACTAGAATCGCAGTCCTTGGCTCTTAGATCTGCGGCTCCTGGGTACCAAGAGGCCTTTCTTCCTGAGGAGGGGGTGAGCAGCGCATGAAGGAGGGGTCGCAGGGGGTGGCGGCCGCCACCTGTAACTTCTGTCGCCTTTCAGCACACACTCCCCCGTTGTTCCGGGCTGCCTGACTTCCTCTACCTAAGCTCCCGGAGGCCAGCCACGCCTGGCTGCCCCGGAGCCCCTGGGGTGGGAGCAGTGGGGTGAGCAGGAAGGGGAGAGGAATTTGCCTCTGTGCTTGGGCCGCATCAGCTGTCTGGATGGCTGCGCCACACACCGCCCGTTCAGCTGTTTTCCTTAGTTAGGGTGGACACAAAGGCCAGGCCTCTTGTTTTTATTTTTCTTCTGAGAGTGCTCTCAGCTGTGAGCCTCCTGGTCCCTGGAACAGGGGAGAGTTTATGGTGTGTCCTGTGGCAAGGCTAGAAGGGGCAGAATCTCTGCGGTGACTTTGTTTTTTTTGGTCTTGAACGTTGGGGAACTCTTCCCTCCCCATAGCGGCTAGTGACAGACACACCATGTGCTGTTTAATAAGTTACAAATTTATAGCTCTTTGGGCAGAAAAACATAAACACTGCCCTTCCCTGTGTGTTCTCTCCTCTTTGTGCTGCGGGGTGGCTGCTGGTGGCTTTTCCCATTACTGTTTAGATGCTGGTTTGGCCCGGAGTTCGCCCTGTTGAGTTCTGGCTGGAGTTTCCTGGACAGAGTTCCCACAACACTGAGATGCAGTCTGATTACGGTTTCGGACCCAACTCCTCGCTCTCCTCTTGTTCACGTTCCTAGTGCTTCTGGGGGGCTGTGACCACAGCTGCGGCCCAGTAATGGTCACGTGTGCTTGGTGGGAGACAGGCATCGGACTCAGCACTTTAGGCGTATGATCACTGACGCTTTGGGGAGAGGGTGGTTTTTATCTCCGCTTTACAGATGGGGAAACGAGCCTCTGGGAGGTTCACTGGGGCAAGCTGGGGTTGGAACCCAGACTGATCCCATTCCAGATCTGGCCATCTAAACCAGAACAAGGTTAAGTGCTAGGTGAGGTGACTAACTGGGAGGGGTGGTGAGCCCCGGGCCTGCTGACTGATTGCTAGTCACCTTCAAAATTTGGGCCCTGGGGGCCATCCTGAATAAATGGACTCTATGGCAAAGGGCAGGTGCAGTTCAGACCTTGATGGCTTTGCCTTCCCTTCTCTTGCAGGGGGAACAGCCAGCTGTTGGCAATGCCCAGTTGCTGCTAGAATCTGGACATGTCTTCTTTCAGCTTCTCAGCAGTCTTGACCCTCTGAAATACAGTGCCTCATTGTCCTTAGGGGGAGTACTAGGGGGGCAGGGGAGTTGCCTGGGGCATTCCGGGCTACGGAGCCTCCCTGTTTCCATGGAAAGTCTGGACTTTGGGCTTGCCTGTCTGTGGTGCCTCTGTGTGTTGGTCTGGGGTCAGGGCACCCAGCTGCTGGGCCCTCAGCAGAGGCAGCCCCAGGGAGTGGTGCTGTGTTCCTCGGCAGGGCCAGGTCTCCTCCTGGGCTGTGCACTAGTGAGGTACAGAGCTGAGCTCCGAACCCTGGGGTGTTTGATTCTTAAGCAGGTGCGCTTGCCGTTGTGCCAAGCTGTCTGCAGCCTGGGCAGCCCCATCCAGGGTGGAGAGGTTCGGGTTGCTGGGGCCATATCCCTGCCACTGTGGATTGGAGGTCTTCCAAGGGAGCCTCACGTATTCCCTCCAGCTTCCCCAGCAATGGCCGTGCACTGGGAGGCTGGGTGGGTCGTTGGCTGGAGGGGCCCTCAGAACGCCAGAGTTACCGCCGGGGTACCAAGCAGTGCCTCTCTCCCATATAACTCAACTTGTGCTGATCCTCCAAGGCTTCCTTTGGCCTTTGCCTTGTTCCAGGGGGAGAGAGTTGAAAAACTCCTCCCACCTTCACCTCATTGCAGCTCTTCCCTGGGTTGTCCTAGTGTCGGTGCTTTCAGTAATAACAACAAACATCTGTAGAACTCCTTCCCAGAGTGTTTATTGAGCACTTACTGTGTACGGGCACTGTGCCGGGCACTTTACATGCCTTGTTTCACTGACCTGTTTCGGCCATAGGAGGCACAGGTTCTGTTATTATTACTACTGTCCATTTTACAGATGGTGAAACTGAGGCACAGAGAGGGTTAGCGCCCTGACCCAAATTCTGTTTACCAGTGAGTGGTAGGGCTGGGGTTTAAATGAGAGTCGGTCTTGTGACTGTCCTTATACCTCTCTGTCCATGATACTGGATCGGATCTTGCTTGCCTGTTGGTTTGATTGTTTTCCATTTCTAGGATGATAAAAATCTTTTCTGTCCCCTCCCCACAGCCTCCAATCTCTGTTTGATCTCCCCCATCCATCCTCTTCCTGTTCTCTGGGCTTCTTCCCTTTCCTTCAATCTTCCTTGGGATGGGCTGCTGGACACTTGTGACAGGGTCTCCTGCTCAATGCCCTCCCATCCCCTGTCACCTCCTCTCCAGTCACCTGTTCCCCTTGGGACAGAGGGTAGTCCTCTGAGGTCCCTCTTCTAGGCCTGGTTGGAATCACGCCCTCTGTGCCCCTGGCCCATACAGATGTGCTCCTGTCTTCATTCAGGTGTTTGGACTTGCCGCCAGTTGGAGCCGGCCCATTTCCAGAGGAGGAAGTAGATGAAAACTTTGAGGTGGAGAATTGAGAGTGTCCTCTGTGAGGGAGAGAGGGAGAGAGAGAATTGGGGGGAGCTGAGTATTCCCAGAAACCTTGACAAAGCTCCTGATAAAAAGGAGCTCACTCGGGATAGGCCCAGAGCCTCCCCAGCCCCCAGGTCTACTTTGCCTTTTCATTGGGGGCCTGTTGGGAGTCTCACATCTGGCCTGAAGCGTGCATTTACGTCCTGATAAAGTCTTCCAGCTAACGAATTGATTGCCTAACCCCTGAGACTCAGGGCTGGCCTCTCCAGGGAGGCCTTGGACGCTGGGCCAGTGGTAGGCAGAACGTGTGGTTGGCCAGGCCCAGC